AATAGAAAAAGACCTTTACGTATATTTTGTTTTTTATTATTTCAAAATTAGATCAAATTATTGTAGTGAATACTCTATCACTTTGTCGTTTGTTTTATGTATATGAAATATTCTTCACTAAAGTTTTACATCTAGTGTTGATTCGTGGTAAGGGAAAAAAAGAATCTTTGAATAATTATACGTTAAAGAAAAACTTTAGTAAAGACAAAATAGGTTTTTATTATTGCAAATGATTTTTTCTTTTTGCTAACTTGTAAATATCAAATAAAATGAGTGAGTGGATCTTACAAAAATTTTGATCACTAAGATACCATGTCAATTTATCCAAAGCAACACTAAGTTTCTGAAACCGTTCTTCTTCAAAGCAAATGAATTCTCTGCAAAGTCTATCTCCATTATAAACCATTTCGATACAAAACGAAGATCAAATAGTCCAAAACTATTTGCATATAGCTGAGATTGAACTTTAGAACTTCATAATATATGAATAATATTTAACGATTCCGAGGTCAGAAAACAAATCATTATGATTTATGAGAAAGGGTACCTAAAAACCTAGTGCTTAATTCCAAAAGCTATTATTAGTCGATAGTTCGACCAAACTATTCATTTGGTTTTTTTCTTTTTTTTGATAGATATTAATTTGGTTTTGTTAAAAGAGAGCAAGTCAAATTAACTCACGAGCATGGGCAACGACGCAATGTTAGATTGACGGTGTGTCATGCAAATATACATAGAGAAATTTTTAGAAAGGTCACTTTTGAAATGTTATTTTTTTTAAATACAATTTTTTAAAAATCTTTGTAAAAATGCTATTTTTTCAAAATCATTTATTCAATATATCATTTTGTTTTGGTTAACTATTAATATATATATAATAATATAGAAAATTTACTTAAATGAAATATTTTTTTAAATAAAAATAAATAAATATCATATGTACAATTAATTTCCACTTTCATTTTACTATTTTTTTTTTTGCATATTACGTAGTCACTTTTTACAGTATCTACGGCTTTAAATTTTACAAATATAGATAACTAATTAGATGATTACATGTAGATAATGAGAAAATCTAGATCATTAACTCATTAAGCACGTCGACAACTCAAATATTCATCCTTAATTTTGTTATAACATTTGCGATGTGCTAAACTGCTAATTCTCTAATGTAATACAACTGGCGAGCATATGATGAAAGTTGTAGATCGGTGATAATCTTTTGATTCATATGATCGATAAAAGTTTCAACTCGCTATATACATTCTTTCTGATTCATACAAAGCTTCTTATATTTCACAAAAAGTTTGATTTTTTTTTTGTTTTTCTTGCTTAACGGTGGAGTACTTTTTTTATTCAATTCAATAGTTAGTGTTAAGAGAAATTTCAAAAAATGCCACTTTTCGAGTGTTACTTTACAAAAATGTAACATTTTTTAAATCTTTATAAAATTATCATTTTTTCAAAATTTTTTTGTTTTTTATAATATTTATGTTTGAGTTAATTATGTTTTATTAGAGTTTAGTTTTGAGTGTCTAGGGGGTTTTAGGTGTCAAAACATTTTTAGGGTTTAGAATTTTAAGATATATGCTTTATAAATCTATAATTAGTGGTATTTTTGTAAATGGACACCCTAAGTGGCATTTTTGCAAATGTGCACACAAAAAGTGGCATTTTTGTAATTGTTCCAATAGTTAAAACCAAAAAAAATACTGGCGAGAAAAAAAAAAAACTTTATATCATACCTCACGACCATTTACAATCGTACATTTTTATCTGAATTTAAGAGAATCTAATGAAACTTGTCGAATCAAGTTTCTTTATCGAGTAGTGAATCTAATGAAACTTGTCGAATCATTTTTATCTGAATTTAAGAGAATCTAGTGATTTCACAAAATACCATTTACCTTCTCTAACAAAGAGCAGGAAAATATCATCATTATTCATAGTGATCTTATCATCACATTTCTCCTCGAATGCTGCATTTCTATATAAATACAACAATAATAGATATATACAGCTTTTCTTTATTA